CTTCTAGGCAGAGCCTAGGTAGGGAAACACATTCCTCTCCAGCCTCTGAAACTTCCGGCACCGCCTGCGAGGGTCACGACACTGTGGCCGCTCTCGCGCCATGGGCCTACCGGCCGCCGACAGGCTACGGCCGATCGTCTGGGTCGCCGCCTCTAGCTGGGCGATCCTGGCCTCGAGGCCCTCGACAGGGGAGTCGAGGTCCAACTGGTCGGAGGCGTCGATCCAAGACGTGCGATTCCCGAGAGAGTCAACTGCCGCCTCGAGCTCCGTGACACGCTGGACCAGGTCGCCGGCGTCGGAGCTTTCACGGGCGAAGAACGGTATAAAATAAACCTTTTCGCCGTCGGGGACACCTGCCCCAGGGCGGCTGGAAAACTTATACCCTTACGGTGGCACCGCAGGGGTATAAACTTTCCAGCCGCCCTGGGGCAGGTGTCCCCGACGGCGAAAAAGTTTATGTTGTACCGTTCTTCGCTCGCTGAGAGCTGGCCGGCACGCTCGCGGCGCCTTCCTCGAGACGCTGGACGAGGTGCCCGAGCCGCGTGGCCTGAGATGCTGCGCCCGTCAGCGACAAGTGAATCAAGCACCAGCTACAGCAGGAGCGATCATTGTTCCACACCTCATCGTAGGCCTTGCCTTTTTGTTTTCCGAACCTGATCACTGCTGCAAAAAAAAACATCTCGCTCGACCTTGACCCGCGCCCTATGTAGGCGCTCACTGAATTCTTGGCCGGCAACAGCGGCCGACGGTGGTTCAGTCTTGACCATGTCGTGCCGGGTCGGACCAAAAAAGCTGGGTTCGTTCGCGCAGGTCGACGGGCAGCCGAGTACACTTGAACCGCAGCGTCGGCTCACACGACGAACTCGTGCAACATGCAAATCGTTGACGGCACACACGCACGCATAGGTAGTATGTATACAATATGGTGTCGACACACGGTCCGCAGTGCACAACTATACAGGATAACAACTGGTTCCGCGCACTGCCGTCAAAATCGAAGACCCACCCTAGGTCCTAGTCGATTGTTCCTTTTCGTCGTGCACCCCTTAACCTCCTGTTATTCCTCTCGTTGGATTTCAAATCTAGAACAGCTTGTTCGTCGGCTAGCTGATAGCTCTTGGCCCTTTATAAAAGCCTTCAGGAGGTCCGCTGGGCCCCCCGTGTTCTTAGTCAGCGGATCAGCCAACTGTCAGTTAGCAGGGCATTACCTAAAGCTTGCCTTGCAACGCTTGGCCGAGTCTTTGATCACCACCACATCGAGTGCACAGCGTTTGCCTTCTAACCTAGCTGGAGACGCATTGGCCTTGACGGTGTCATAGAAAGACTTACAATCCGTGACTATGATGGGCTCCCGGGTACTCACGCAAGCGTCGTCGGGGATCTTCTGACCCGGGTCAATCCAGACCCGGGTCAGCAGGAAACCAAAAACTGCAATGCAGGAAAAAAAAGCTGCAACGCAGGTCCTCGCAAACCCGGGTCAACCAATACGCGCGGCCGCTTCGCAGCCACGAGCGGCTCGCTGACCCGGGTCAGCCAGAGGGGGTCGTCGCAGGATCCTGCAGGATCTGGCGCCCTGGCTGACCCCCGTTTGCATTGACCCCCGTCTCGAGGCTCCCGACGTCAAGGTTTCCCAAGTCGACCGGCCCCTCGAGAGCCTCATACAGCTCCACAGCTGCACAACAAGCCGAGGCTGCCTGGGCCTCTCCTGACAGGGTACGGGGAGCAAGTCGTTTCAGCCTGAACGAACGCCAGTTGAAAAGGTGACCACGGAGCTTCCTGTCCACTGTGCATTGCCGCGGAAGCGAAACACAGCGCATATCCCGCCTGTTTTTTTGCATTCCACCCCGTCGCGTCGAGATGAGCATCGGGGACGTGCTACCCCGGGTCAATCCAGACCTGGGTCAGCAGGAAACCAAAAACTGCGATGCAGGGAACCAAAACTGCAACGCAGGTCTTCGCAAACCCGGGTCAGCCAATATGCACGGCCGCCCCGCGGCCACGAGCGGCTCGCTAACCCGGGTCAGCCAGAGGGGGTCTTCGCAGGATCCCGCGGGATCCGGTGCCATGGCTGACCCCCGTTTGCATTGACCCCCGTCTCGAGGCTCCCGAGAGCAATCATCGTCAGCTCTTCCGGTGGAATAAGCAAACACGAGATCGCAAGACCTGCGCGCTGCATGGCACGGCGCTCCGTGGCCGCACTTCGCATCAGCTCGCCTACGGTGGGTCGCGGAAAGCATCCCTGTCCACAGGTACCTGGCAGGATAAGTCGGGTCGCGTCTCTTTGCGCGCCCAACCGACATCGCCGAAACACGATCGTCCCTGGGCAATATCGCGCCACGGTTGGCCTTGCGCCCCCACCCCGCCACGACCGCCCCGACGGTCACCCCCGCCCGGCGGCCGCCGACGACCCGACGACGCCGACGACCGCCACTACTCCGCCTGCCGCTTCCTGCAGCCGCATGCCGTCGCGTCGCCGCCGTGTCCGCGCCCACGTCGCGGGCATCCCTTCTATCCTCCGAAGAGGAGGAGGAGGAGGAGGAGGAGGAGGAGGAGGAGGAGGAGGAGGGGGAGTGAGGAGGAGGAGGAGGAGGAGGAGGAGGGGGAGGAGAGGAGGAGGAGGAGGAGGAGGAGGAGGAGGAGGGGGAGGAGGAGGAGGAGGAGGAAAAGGGGGGTGGAGGAGAGGGGGAGGAGGAGGAGGAGGAGGAACCGTGAGAGCAGGGCATCCCTTCTATCCGAACCACTGGCGCGGCCCGTCTTTGCCGCCTCGCCTGCTATCCGCTTGCTGTCTTCCTTCTCTCCCCTCCCGCTGGCCCGCCCGCCTGCCTTGTCCCGCCGGCCCGGGCCTCCCGCCTGTGCGCTCGTCGCCGCCAGCTGGCCGCCCTGAGGAGGAGGAGGAGGAGGAGGAGGAGGAGGAGGAGGAGGAGGAGGAGGAGGGAGGGGAGGAGGAGGAGGAGGAGGAGGAGGGAGGCGGAGGGAGGAGGAGGAGGAGGAGGATGGAGGAGCAGTGGGAGGAGGAGCAGGAGGAGAGGAGGAGGATGGAGGAGCGAGGAGGAGGAAGGGGGAGGAGGAGGAGGGGGACGAGGAGGAGGAGGAGGAGGAGGAGGAGGAGGAGGAGGAGGAGCCGTGCAGGGCATGCCGGGAGGGGGCCACCCTGGTGGAGGCGTATGCCCCCTCTTCACAATTACTCAATCTGAATACTACCCTCCCTCTTCCCCTGATGGCGTGCTGGGAATACTCGACCCCCCCCGCGTACTGTTTTTTTACACACAGGATTCCCGGGAATTGGGTTTTCGCCTGCGTTTTTTTCAAAATGCTGCTCTCGCTGAGGCGCCGGCCTCATTCTGCTCCCGAATCGTTCCGAATCGTGCTCCCGCTGCAGCGTGGGCCTCATTTTCGGATCGGTGTTTTGCCTCCGTCGTTCAGGATGGCGTTCTCGCCCCAGCGCGGGCCTCTTTCTCGCGCGCCCATCCGCCCGCCACCACCGCGCCGCACCACGCCCCGCCCCGCCGCACGCACACCCACCGCCACTTCCACCCACCAACGCACGCACGCACGCACGCGCACCACCACCGCGCACCGCCACCACCACCGCACTACCCACCCACCACCACCACGCTACACCGCGTCACACCACATCACACGCGCGCACACACACACGCACGCACGCACGCACGCACGCACGCACACGCACACGCACGCACGCACGCACGCACACATACACGCACACACACACACACACACACACACACACGCACACACACACACACACACACACAGACACACACACACACACACACACACACCACCACCGCCACCACCACCACCGCCATCACGCACGTACGCACCTGGCCCACCACCACACCACCAAGACGCCACACCACGTCACACCACAGCACACGCGCACACACGCACACACACACACACATACACACCACCACCACAACAACCACAACCACGCACACACGCACGTACGCACGCGCACCACCACCCACTACGCACACGCGCGCGGAGCCACAGGTCCGCTACGACACGTGTCCGCGGATAGAGAAAATCAGCGCCAGGTAAGGGATGGGAGGGAGGGGTAGGATGGCAGATGTTGACGCGAGCGCACCTAACTTGTCCCCCCCCCCCTCTCCTTCCTCCTCTGCGGAGGCGGGAAAGTTGGTTCCGGCCACCTGCTGCTCCGCGTGGGGGCGCCTTCACCCCGCCTGCTTCGGGGGGCGACTTCGCAAGCCATGGGGCCCCCGTGTGATGGACCGTCGGCCGGCGCGCCGTGCCCGTAGCATCCATAGCAGTCTTCACCTCTCTCTCCAACGCTTCTCCTCCTCCCTCCTCCCCCTCCTCCTCCTCCCTTCCTTCCTCCTCCTCCTCCTCCTCCTCCCTCCTCCTCCTCCTCCTCCTCCTCCTCCCTCCCCCTCCCTCCTCCTCCTCCCGTCCTCTCCTCCTCCTCCTGCTACCTCCTCCTGCTCCTCCTCTCCACTCCTCCAGATCCTCCTCCTCCTCCTCTCCTCCTCCTCATCCTCTCCTCCTCCTCCTCCTACTCCTCCTCCTCCTCTTCCTCCCTCCTCGTTCGCCTCCCCCTCCTCATGCCCTCCTCCTGCGTTCTGTCTGCCCCCTCATGATCATCCTGCTCCTCCTCCTCGCTCTCCTCCTTTCTGCTTCTCCTCTTCCTCATCCTCCTCGTTTCATCCTTTCGCCCATCCCCATTTTCCATCCACCTCCTCCTCCCCATCCTCCAATTTCGATTACCTCCCCGCCCTCCGTCCTACTTGCCCGCATCCTGCCACCTCTCCCTCCGAACCCTCCCTTAGCAAAGACGGTTCCTCGTCCAAGGTGGCATCACTGGGGACCTGCATGGCCATGAAGCCTGGCGACGGAAGGGGAAATCCGCCGATCCGGCGTATGAGTTCGAAAAAGCCTCAGCTACAGCCTGCAGCCTACAGCCTGAGCTTCAGCTCTGCTGGGGGGGGGCCGGGGTGATTCTGCCAGGTTTTCCAGGGGGGGCTCCTAGTGCTTGTCGCGGCTACTCGCGTGTCTGGGGAGGGCATTTTTTGACACCCATCACGAGGATCGTGGCCTCCGAGGGGGTCCCGAACTCGAGTGCCCCTCCCTCCCGCCCCAAGAAGCTCCCAAGAGGCCCCCAAGAGGCACCAAGAAGATCCCAAGAGGCCCCCCAAAAGCTCCAAGAGGCCCCAACGAGGCCCGCAAAAGGCCCGAAAATTGCCCCAAGAAGCCCAGCAACTGCCCAAGAGTCCCGGGGGGGCCTCAAAACTGCCTCCCAGAGGCCCCGAAGAGGCCAACCACGAGATCCCAACCACCCAGGCACGGTGGCGGGATAGGCCGAAGGCCACTCGATCCGCCGCCCCCTTCTGCTTCAGCACAGGGGTGCCCGGCGTGCCAGATCCTATCGGTTTTGGTTTTGGTTCTTTTTCCAAAAGAACTCTCCCAGTGGGTTTCGGCCCGTCCCGCCGGGGTCCGCGGAAGGCCCAGAAACGTGCTCAACGACCGCAAAAAATCCTCCAAGATGGCTCGAGATGACCTCCCAGACGGCCAAGATGGCCTCCAAGATGGCCTCCAAGATGGCATCCAAGTCCGCCCAAGATGGTCCAAGGCGGCCTCCAAGACGGCCCAAGAGAGTCCAAGACGGCCCAAGACGGCCCAAGAGGCCCCCCAGAGGCCTCCCAGATGGCCCAAGAGGTCTCCAAGAGGTCCTCCAGGAGGGCCCGAAGAGGCCCAAATCATTGATTTTCTGTAGGTTTTTGAAGGATTTGGGAATTCGCTTCTTCTCGACATTCCGACGGCTCAAGACGGCCCACGAGGCCCCCAAGATCGCCCAAAAGGCCCCCAAGAGGGCCCCATGACCGCCCAAGTGGCCTCCAAGATGGCCCCAAGAGGGCCCCAAGACGGCCCAAGAGGCCTCCAACAAGCCCAAGACGGCCCCGAAGCGCCCCAAGAGGGTCCCCCGTTGGCCCAGAAAGGCCCCCGAGACGGCTCCCGACGGCGTCAGACGTGCCAGGAACCCACAAAGATGGCTGAAGTTGGCTCGAAGCTGGCCCAAAAGGGCCCAAGAGGCCCCCAAGAGGGCCTCCAGGAAGGCCAGACGAGGCCAAAACACATGGATTGTCCTTAGGTTTTTGACGGATTTTGACATTTTCTTCTTTTCGGCTTTCCGACGGCCCGAGACGGCCCAAGAGCCCCCAAAGATCGCCGAAAGATCGCCCAAGAGGCCTCCAAGACGGCCAAGATGACCTTCATGATGATGCCCACGTGTTCCCGGAAGGCTTTCCAAACCGATTCGGGGAACACATGGTTCGATGGCTTGGCAGGTCTGGCCTCAACGTTCGGCCACATAGGCGCTTCCACAAAGGCAGGGGGCGGCGGTGACTCGCCGTAGGCGTCTTCGATCCGCCGCCCCCTGTCGATTCATCGCAGGGGTGCCTGGCGTGCTAGACTTTTACGGTTTTGTCTTTGTTTTTTGTTTTTTTTTTCTTTTTCCAAAAGAACTCTCCCAGTGGGTTTCGGCCCGTCCCGCCGGGGTCCCGGGAGGCCCTTCCAGGAGCACAAACTCCGGAACAAATCCTCCCTGAAACGGCCGTTTCGCTCGAGACATCCTCAAAACATCGCGAAGATGGCCCAAGATGGCCTCCAAGTCCGCCAAAGATGGTCCAAGACGGCCTCCAAGACGGCCCAAGAGAGGCGAAGACGGCCCAAGACGGCCCAAGAGGCCTCCCAGAGGCCTCCCAGAGGCCCAAGAGGCCTCCAAGAGGTTCTCCAGGAGGGCCCGAAGAGGCCAAAATCCTGGTTTTTTAAAAGGTGTTTGAAGGATTTTGGAATTTGCTTCTTCTCGGCATTCCGACGGCTCAAGACGGCCCAAGAGGCCCCCAACATCGCCGAAGAGGCCCCCAAGAGGGCCCCATGACGGCCCAAGTGGCCTCCAAGTGGCCTCCAAGTTGGTCCCAAGAGGGCCCCAAGACGGCCCAAGAGGCTTCCAACACGCCCAAGGTGGCCTCCAAGACGCCCAAGATGGCCTCCAAGACGGCCCCGAAGCGCCCCAAGAGGGTCCCCCGTTGGCCCAGAAAGGCCCCCGAGACGGCTCCCGACGGCGTCAGACGTGCCAGGAACCTATAAGATGGCCGAAGTTGGCTCGAAGCTGGCCCAAGACGGCCCAAGAGGCCCCCAAGAGGGCCTCCAGGAAGGCCAGAAGAGGCCAAAATCATTGATTGTCCTTGGGTTTTTGACGGATTTTGACATTTCCTTCTTTTCGGCCTTCCGACGGCCCGAGACGGCCCAAGAGACCCCAAAAATCGCCGAAAGATCGCCCAAGAGGCCTCCAAGACGGCCAAGATGACCTTCATGATGCCCACGTGTTCCCGGAAGGCTCTCCAAACCGATTCGGGGAACACATGGTCCGATGGCTTGGCAGGTCTGGCCTCAACGTTCGGCCACATAGGCGCTTCCAAAAAGGCAGGGGGCGGCGGTGATTCGCCGTAGGCGCCTTCGATGAATGCAGAGTGAGAAGGGGAGGGTGGGAAAGAGAGAGGAGGGACGAGGGCGAAGGAAGATCACATCAGTCGGAGCGTCCCGGATCGGCAGCACTGGCCGGAGGCAACCACAATAGGGTAGAAACTCGTTCGAAGATCAAGGACAGGTGTGGGGGGTGGAGGGGGTGGAAAGGGGGAGAGGAGCAAGACGGGGGAGGGAGGCGAGAGAAGGGGAGGAACGGGAAGCTGGATGAAGGTGGAGCGTGTTTTCTGTCTGGTATGATCTATAAATTTCACGATATAATCGCCTAACCTTAACGTCAGACAAGCTACGGAACATGATTGTGGACGATGAGTGATGGACCTCGCAACTGCGAGCGGAGCCGGCATGGTGCGACATCCGATGCGTTGGAAGCGTACTGTGAATACTCATGCAGCCTTTGCTACAATGCCTAGCGCAACGCCGACGACAGTCACTCGCGCACCGAGTGCTGCAATCCCTATCATAGCGTTAACGACGGCCTGTAATATATGACCGAATACGCTCCCTACTACAGACCGTATTCCAAGCCCGTCCTAACGACATGCATTTCCGCATCGCTCGCTACAGCGCCAGCTTGCCCCCCACGCTTCCCTCCCACCGTCCCCACCACAAACTCGACTACAGGCCGAAACATAAACCGTACTGCAGCCTCGAGTAAAGGCGTGTTGAATTCCCTGCGACTGCCCTCATTACCACAGCCCGTACTGCAGTCCTGATCCCAGCTCCGACCGCAGCGCCTTTCTACGTCGTAAAGCACGAAGGCCTCGACAACGCCTTTTCGACAGCAGCCCCAATCCTTTGCAACCTCCTTTGCAATCCCGATTCCCTACTACAGTGCGTAGTAGAGCCCGCGCTACAAACCTCATTCCAATCGATCCCACGGCGACTACGTTGGCGCCTACACCACTGCCGAATACAGTGCCTATTACAGCACGTATGACAGTCCCCGCCGCATTGTTGACCACAACCCTCACTGCACCCCCATACTACACCCCGCACCTGCGACAGCTTTTGTTATGGCGCCTACTGCAGCCCCCACCATCTCCTACTACAACGCCAACTACACCCCCGCCCCACACCCCTAGTTTCCCGCTGTGCCTGCGCGAGCACCGAAGTGCTTGCGCGCACCACAGCGTTTATCGGCACCGCGCTGGCTGCCCGCAAGTGCAAAATAGCGACCGCGTGCACCGCAACACGTGTATGCAATACAACGCCAACAATGCCAACAATGCGCGCGTGCACCAAGATGCCAGCAGGCGCCGCAATCCGCGTTTGCATCGCGCTGCCTGTGGCAAGTGCGCCACGTTGCACGTGTGCATGCAAGGCAAGTCTGGCAACGCTGCCCACTTTCGGAGTAAGGGTGCTTCTGGTGCTCCCGAATGCAACGCCTAAGTGCCTTGCTGACGAATGAGCACGGGTGCCCGATGCAATGTGCACGTAGTTCAGTCTTCTGTACACGCAGGCAGAATGGGGCACCTGGGCATTATCACGCGCACAGCCATTGCGGCGCACGCGCACGCTCTTGGCATCGCGGTGAGCACAGGCATTGCGCTGCACAGGTGCGACGCGGTGCGCGCGAGTGCGTTCTGCCGCCCACGACCTAGGCGGTGCACACAATAATCGCGTCGCACGGGCAGCCTTCAGGTTCAACACGGGATACCCAAACACCCCTACAGGAACGGAAGCATTGTGGCGCGCAGATGCATTCTGGAGCTTTGTGTCGCACACAGACATTGCGCAAGACGCGGGGCACTGTGCATGCGCGCGCACGGGCATGATTGTGCAAGTAGGCACCCCTGTGGACAAAAACACAGGAGTGAACGCATGCACCGCGGCGCACTTAAGCATTGCGATGCGCTCACATACTGCGCGCCGCAAAGCCTGGTTGCACCGTAGACACCAGCAGCAGCGCACAGCAGTTGACGAACCGCTCCCTTTCCTATAGGTATCTCGCGACATCAGCAGCAACGCGCAGCAGTTGACGAGCTCCGGGACCCGAAACATAACGACATCGCCAGGTGCAACATTGCGACGACAGCATATCCATGCGCGCGTCTGGCAATGGCTGGTAGACTTGCGAAACCGGACGTTTGCTGCCTTCGTCTCTGCGCGGGCACAGTTCCAGGGAGTGCAAAAAAACGAGTGGTTGGACAACCTTATGGAATCGCGATTAATCACGGAGGGCTCTGGATCGACGGAGGGTTCTGGATCGACGGAGCATCGAATGGAAAACGGCGAGGATATTCTTCAAAAACAAACGAGAAGCAACTTCATCTATAATATTATGATCATGCTCAGCACGAATCTTATGATCCAGTACGTTACAGTGCAGTTATGTCTGTGCATAAAGGGACCCAGCGGAACGCAAAGATGACGAGCCAGACGGCCAGTGGCCCGAAAAAACGACCCGCGCTCACACGCGACCCGACAGAGGAGGTCTCTACCTGGAACGAGGGTTCCTGCCAAGAAATGATGACGATAGGTCACGCAGTCACGAGCAACCGCAAGAAGGTCCTAAACCACTCCACCGACGATGTCGACACAGCTGACCCCGATATGAAGAAGTGTGGGGGGTCGCCCAGTGCTCTCAAGTGGGCCTTTGCGGCTGCCCTGGGCAAAGCAGCCGAAGGTCCCCCCCTGCACTTCTCTACCCAGCGACGAAGCCCAACGGCAGAGAGGCGCGGCCGAGGACTCGGACCCCCGGGGTGGGTACGGAAAGAATGGGCACAATGAGCAACAGCAGGTGTTGTCCCGAATCACCAGCGGCCGCTGTTTGGCAGGCGGCCTTCCGTCTCAAATGGACACAGTCCGCGGCGACGCCGACGGCGAATCCGGTTCGATAGGAACCAGAACTGCCGTCGGTCTTTGTGCCCACACTTTCCGTACCCATGTCGGTCGTCCCGAGAGGAGGGGGAAGGGGGGGAACGCAGCCCTCGCGCGGGAAGCCGCAGCATCGACTTCATCCGGCGGCCCGGGGCGCTGCACCGAGCTCGCCCGCGCGGCCTCGCGCCAGACTGCCACGCGCCCGCCAGCCCGGCCCCTGCGGTGTCCCCAGACCTGCCCAGCGTGGCTGGCAGGCAGTGGGCTCCAGCACACTCGGCGGCCGGCGGGTGTGCACGCCTCCTCCTCCTCCTCCTCCTCCTGCTCCTGCTTCTCCTTCTCCTCCTCCATCTCCTCCCTGCTCCTCCTCCTCCTCTTCCCCTCCTCCTCCTCCGCCTGCTCCTGCTCCTCCTTCTCCGCCTCCGCCTCCGCCTCCTCCGCCTCCGTCCTCCGCCTCCTCCCTGCTCGTCCTCATCCCCCCTCCTCCTCCTGACATGATGACGCAGGCCCACGAGATAGAGAGAGAGAGAGGAGGTCGGGGGCGGCGGCGGGCGGCGGGCGGTGGTGCCCCAGATGCAGGCCATCCAGTGGCTAACCCCCAGGATGTACACGACGAACCTCTGGCACGGGATGCGCACAACTTTGGGAGGAGGGGGGCGGGGGGAGCGAGCGAGCGTCGGGAGTCCCTCGGAGACCCCCAGTCGCCCGAGACGTCCCCGGCGAACGGCCCGAGCCCCGAAGCTGTGCGGCCACCAGCGCGCCACACCGCTGGGGGTCCCAGAAACGAGCGGGTGAACCGCCCCGCAGCCGCGCGAGAGCGCCGTCCCGGGAGGCTGGGGCTGGAAGGGCAGCAGCTCGTGGAAGGTGACGTGCCAATTCAGTCCTGATGCCTTCAGGAGTACGGAGGAAGGAGGAGGAGGAGGAGGAGGAGGAGGAGGAGGAGGAGGATCGGCTACACGCAAGAGTGACCCTGGGTAAGAGTGACCTTTATTGGTGCGCGGCTTTTTGGGGGCCGCTGGGAGACCAAACCTGGGCGCGCAAGCCGCTGCTACCGCTTCGTTTTCAGCCATCTGAGGGCCCATCTGTGCCCGCACCAAAGGTCACTCCGGCGAAAGGTCACTCTTACGCCTAGTCGAGAGGAGGGCGACGACGACGACGAGGAGATGGAAGATGAGAATCACGAACAGTGGAGCAGTCCTGCGGGAAACCTGCTTTGTGAAACAGACCACCTCTTATACCCAACGTCTCGTCAACATCAGTCTCTACATCGCAACATCAAACCTTCCGAGCATCCCTCACACCAGCCAACGCACCCAAGCAGCATCGGACCATCCACTCGCTCCCATGGCGCGGGTCGGTTTCGCCAACGGCCGCTTTCGCCGGGGTCGTTTTCGCCAGCGGCCGGTCTCGCTGCCGATCGGTCTCGCTGGGGCACGATCGGGCGGCCCCGCCAGCGGTCGGGCGAGCACATTCGGCTTCGCCAGGGGTCGGTTTCGCCGGCGGTCGGCTTCGCCGGGGGTGGGCTCTGCCTGCTGTCCGCGGCGTGGGCGGCGCTCGCCCCGTCGCCTGTCGCCGCCGCCGCCTCCGCACAACCTGACGGGCAGGCCAGGCGGGCGGACCCCAGCAGGCGGGTCCCGGCGGGCGGGGCCCTAACGGGCAGGTGGGCCGGGCGAGCCCCAGGACCCCTAACAAGCAGGTCGGGCGGGCGGGCGTGGGCGGGCGGAGCGGGCGATGCCGCAGCGGGAGGGCCGGGCGGGCGAAACAGAGCCTGCCAGCACACGACCCTGCGGACCTTGACGGACGGGGCGGGCAGACGGACTCCAACGGGCGAGTCTGGGGGGCCCTCCTCCTCCTCCTCCTCCTCCTCCTCCTTCTCCTCCTCCTCCTCCTCCTCCTCCTCCTCCTCCTCCTCCTCCTCTTCCTCCTCCTCCTCCTCCTCCTCGCAGTGACCACCCACTTGGCTTGCCAGGCATTGCACGCCGCCTGGCTGTCCGTGTCCGTCCGTCTGTCTGTCTGTCTTCCCGGCTCTCTGAGCCGCGGCGCTTTGAGCTTCTTAGCTCGGGGACGCGTCGGCCACCGCCGCCCTCTCCCTTGTCGGTGGCCCTGACGAGGTTGGGGGAGAGGGTGCCGAAACGCGCCCAGAGTCCAGCAAGGCA